GAGGGACTAGCGGCGGTTGCTGATGTGAAAGTTACAATGATGGAAAAACATACCAACATTAAAGTGTTAACAAAGACAAGGCCAAGATTGCTCTTCAAGATGATCAATGAGTTTTACTCTTTAGGTTTAAGTACTCTTCATCTCAACCTCACAACTTCCAAAGATATGTCTCTCTTCACCTTTAGCGTCAAGGTAATTACTTTCTTCCTTTTTTGCTTGAAATAATCAACTATATGTTTAAAATAATTGGTTTTCTGTATTAGGTAGAGGAAAATTGTCAATTAACGACTACAATTAACGAAGTCGCAAATGCGGTGCATGAAGTCTTTACAAGAATTCACAAGGAAAATATAAACTAACTTTGAAGAATCTCTTGTGTATGCAATATATAGGTTATTAAGTAGCCATTCATCGTATTTTGTATAAAATCTAATAAGGCTAACACGCTATGGATTAGAGGGTTGGAGAAATAGAAGAATACAATCTATATCATATTTGAATATAGAATTGATTTGTAATATAACGCATATAAATAATCTAAACATTTTAAAAATGTTGGAAACAAGACGATGGGAATTTTCAGAGTCCATATATTCGTAGCTGTTGTTTATGCAAGAGCTAACGTTAAGCCCAATAAGGCTCACATATGGGCCTTTCAGGCAACGAAATGGGTCTTTCAGACTTATTGCTCTTTAGACGGGTTTAACCAAAAGCGGATGATATTCAATTTGGGAAAACCGGATCTTGGATCCTCGACACTGAAACCGGTATATAAAGGTCGACTAGATTACGAAAACTTACAGAATTTCTCCAATAATAAAAAAAAAATAAAAATCTAACATATATAGATGTGTAAATGTCACGATTCGAAAATCAGATATTTGAATAGAAACATGTTTGGTGGATGTAAAAAAGTAACGAATAAAGGTATTTGGTAAAGTTAAACTTTTTCCTTTTTTTATATATATTTTTATATGAGGGGACGGTATATTTGAGATTTTTGGTTTTCCTAAAATTATGTGATTGATCATTCATGTCGTGATCATTGTTCTAGAAGACAAAAAACATCAAGAATCTAGTGGAATTAGTTGCTTTCGTAGGATAACCAGCTCATCAACCAAACTCCATATATAAAAGATTATATAATTCTTAATTTAAAGAAACATCAAACCTCATTTTACTTTAGACTTTTCTATTTTAAGATTTTAGATGGATACATACGAAATTATCATGTCAGTGTGTCACTATACAAATGACTAAGCTTTACTAATATATAGAAAAAAGTCCCAACTCTAAGAACCTTTTTTCTTTTATTTTCCACCTTGCT